TCTGAGTCCAGATGGTTAAAGGTCAGAGCACAGGAGGTTAAAGGTCAGAGCACAGGAGGTTAAAGGTAAATTAACAACAAAGTCCATGCTCAATAATCCAGGTATACAATCCAACAGTTTTCAGTCAGGTCATCTGGACAGTTTCTTTTTTTGTGTGTTGTCAGTCATGACTGATGAAGCCTTCCGAACCAAAGGTGAAAAGTTTCAGCACAAAACAAGAAACTGTCCAGATGACCTGACTGAAAACTGCTGGATTAAAGGTCAATTCTTTTCAGTTTATTTATAAAGCGCCAAGTCATAACTGGAGTCGTTTATGGCACTGAACAAAAACATTCTAAAACCAAGTTAACACTATTTCCCTGAGGAGCAGCTTTGAGTTTAACTCATCTTGAACAAGCATGAAGGCGACAGTGGAAAGAAAAACTCCCTCATGAGGAAGAAACCTTTAACAAAACCAGCTCAGGACAAGCGGACATCTGCTACGACCGGCTGGGTTTGAGCGAAGTGCTCTGTTAGGAAACTGTGGAATAATAAGATCTGTAATATAAGATGGAGCTAGGTTGTTGAGAGCTTTGTAGGTTAGAAGTAAGATTTTGAATTCTATTCTGGATTTGACAGGGAGCCAGTGGAGAGAAACTAAAACTGGAGAGATATGATCTCTCCCAGTAACTCCAGTTAAGACTCTGGCAGCAGCATTTTGGATCAACTGAAGACGTTTTAAAGAAGTATTTGGACACCCAGATAATAAACCATTGCAATAGTCCAGTCTAGACGTGACAAATGCATGGACCAGTCTCATATTATGTAAGAAATTACAGGTATAATTTTAATTTTTTTCCTTTTAGCTGCTCCCTTCTTCAGGGGTCACCACAGCGCACTAACTCACATGAAGACTTGGCAAAAAAAAAAAATTACTCCGGATACCCTTCCTGACTCAACCACAGATCACCGAGCTACCACAGCCCTCTGTGTGGAGCAGAGAGCTGCTGTCTAGAGCGCCCGGGGGAGCAGCGAAGGTGGAGACAGGTGTGGGTGCTTCACCTATCCTACCTACATTTTTGATGCTGTTGGTACCAGGAGTTGAACCGGCAATCTTCCGATCACAGGCCCACCTTCTCTAACCTCTTCGCCACCACTCTCATTATGATATATTGATATTATTATTATTGATATATTGATATATGATACCATCCAGGGTGTACCCCGCCCCTCGCACAGTGATTGCTGGACATGGGCACCAGCGACCCCCGTGACCCAAAATGGAATAAGCGGGTAAAGATAATGGATGGATGATATATGATATTTTATGTGAGAACACATCATATTATGTTATTATATTAACAGTCCAAACATATATCAGGTCAGAGTACAGGAGGTCAAAGTTCAGGGTACAGCATTTAAAATGTTTTCCTTATTTATATTTTGCAGTGTGTTTAAAATACGGTATATTTCTGCATTATTTGTGTTATTTTAGCCATTCAAATGTCAAAATGTTCATGGCATTCAGGAGGTTAGACTGTAACTGCTTTTTTAAACCCGAGTTCTTTTCAGAACATTTCACTTTATTTACAAATAGTCTTCCTATAAAATTGCACTGAGATCTTTTCAGCTCCTTTAAATACGTTGGTCTCTTTAAAATTTGAATTAGATTTTTGACACCTTCTCTGGGATATGTGACAACACTGTACACCCATCATCACTTATCTCACTGTTCAGGGTGGTGCCTGTGGAGACGTGACTGTGGCACTCTTCTGGCCAGGAGCTGTTGGAAGGACCCACACCCCTCAGCATATAGAGAGGTCATGTTCCATGTCCAGCTGGAAAAAATCAGATGAAAGGTTCTGCAGGAAGATTCTGGGACACCTGGCAACCTTTTCTGTCATTTGTTGAGACCTTGTCAATGCCTGTATGGATTATTTGTGTATGTGTTACTGGTCCGGTGTAGGAGGGATGAGGTGGGAGGGGATTTTGTTCTGTGTTCTTTTGTTTTGTTCTGTTTTCTTAGTGTATGTTTGTCTTCTAAAAAAGCAAAAAATTAATAAAAATACTTTCTTTAACAAAATGTTGAATTGAAAAACTTGCTCTATTTCTAACTTCTGAAGCTACTTTTGGTTTACAGATACAGTTGTACGTCTGGCGTTTAGCTAATCGTTTGCTACTTTTAGCCAGTCTTTTGATGCTTTAGCTTCTAGCTGTACTGTTGATTATTTTATTTGCTAATAAGCTTATTTTTACTTTTAATTACCCTTTTGCTAATGTAGCCGGGTGGTAGATTTATATTTTCCACTTTAGTTGAATAACTATCCTGTTTAAGGTATTGAGGTGTTTATTTACTTTTATTTTTTTGTTACAGCAGAAATGCTGTTGAGTAATTTTGTTTTGTTCATGCCATTTTATTTGTTATTTGCATATTTTGAACACTTAAATATTTTCATATACAAACTGGATTCCAAAAAAGTTGGGACACTAAACAAATTGTGAATAAAAACTGAATGCAATGATGTGGAGGTGCCAACATCTAATATTTTATTCAGAATAGAACACAAATCACAGATCAAAAGTTTAAACTGAGAGAATGTATCATTTTAAGGGGAAAATCTGTTGTTTCCAAATTTCATGTAGTCAACAAATCCCAAAAAAGTTGGGACAAGTCCATTTTTACCACTGTGTGGCATCCCCCCTTCTTCTTACAACACTCAACAGACGTCTGGGGACAGAGGAGACCAGTTTCTCCAGTTTAGAAATAGGAATGCTCTCCCATTCATGTCTAATACAGGCCTCTAACTGTTCAATCGTCTTGGGCCTTCTTTGTCGCACCTTCCTCTTTATGATGCGCCAGATGTTCTCTATAGGTAAAAGATCTGGACTGCAGGCTGGCCATTTCAGTACCCGGATCCTTCTCCTACGTAGCCATGATGTTGTGATTGCTGCAGAATGTGGTCTGGCATTATCGTGTTGAAAAATGCAGGGTCTTCCCTGAAAGAGATGACGTCTAGATGGGAGCATATGTTGTTCTAGAACCTGAACATAGTTCTCTGCATTAATGGTGCCTTTCCAGACATGCAAGCTGCCCATGCCACAAGCGCTCATGCAACCCCATACCATCAGTGATGCAGGCTTCTGAACGCAGCGTTGATAACCACTTGGGCTATCCTTGTCCTTTCTGGTCCGGATGACATGGCGTCCCAGTGTTCCATAAAGAACTTCAAATCGTGACTCATCTGACCACAGAACAGTCTTCCATTTTGCCACACTCCATTTTAAATGACCCCTGGCCCAGTGCAAACGTCTGAGCTTGTGGAGCTTGCTTACAAATGGCTTCCTCTTTGCACTGTAGAGTTTCAGCTGGCAACGGCGGATGGCACGGTGGATTGTGTTCACTGACAATGCTTTCTGGAAGTATTCCTGAGCACATTCTGTTATTTCCTTGACAGTGGCATTCCTGTTTGAGGTGCAGTGACGATTAAGGGCCCGGAGATCACGAGCATCCAGTAGAGTTTTACGGCCTTGACCCTTACGCACAGTGATTGTTCCAGATTCTCTGAATCTTTTGATGATGTTATGCACGGTTGATGATGATAACTTAAAAGTCTTTGCTATTTTACGCTGGGTAACACCATTCTGGTATTGCTGCACTATCTTTCTGCGCAACAATGGTGGAATTGGTGATCCTCTTACCATCTTGGCTTCTGAGAGACACTGACACTCTGAGAAGCTCTTTTTATACCCAATCATGTTGTCAATTGACCTAATTAGTGTTAATTGGTCTTCCAGCTGTTCGTTATATGCTCAATTTCCTTTTTCCAGCACTTATTGCTACTTGTCCCAACTTTTTTGGGATTTGTTGACACTGTGAAATTTTGAATCAACATATTTTTCCTTTAAAATGTTACATTTATTCAGATTAAACTTTTGATCTGTCATCTATGTTATATTACGAATAAAATATTGACATTTGCCATCTCCACATCATTGCATTCAGTTTTTATTCACAATTTGTTTAGTGTCCCAACTTTTTTGGAATCTGGTTTTGTAGTTGGTCTCTGTTGTTGCACAGTTTAGTCACCAGAGGACAGTGCTTAAAATCTATTACCATTTTCACAAGACTGGGTATAAAATGCAGATATCATATAATCACAGATATCATATATTCATAGATATCATATAATCACAGATTTCATATAATCACAGATATCACATAATCACAGATATATAATCACAGATATCATATAATCACAGATATCACATAATCACAGATATATAATCACAGATATCATATAATCACAGATATCATATAATCACAGATTTCATATAATCACAGATATCACATAATCACAGATATATAATCACAGATATCATATAATCAGAGATATATAATCACTAGATATCATATAATCACAGATATCATATAATCACGGATATATAATCATTAGATATCATATAGTCAGTAGATATCATATAATCACAGATATCATATAACCACTAGATATCATATAATCACAGATATCATATAATCATAGATATCATATAATCACTAGATATCATATATTCACAGATATCATATAATCACAGATATCATATAATCACATATATCATATAATCACTAGATATCATATAGTCACTAGATATCATATAATCACAGATATCATATAATCACAGATATCATATAATCACAGATATCATATAAGCACTAGATATCATATAATCACAGATAT